AAATGAAAAAAAAAGTGGAAATGAAAAAAGAGGACTCAAGGCGAAAATCCTAAAAGGACAGTTTTAGTCATAAGAGATTTATCTAAGTTGAAAACCTGAAAAGGCAGTTTAGATAAGGAGAATATAGCATCAAATTTGAAAATCCATTGGCACGGAGGCTAGCAAATTCAAAGTAGCTCTAAGTTGTTAAATGCCTCAGATGATTGAGTTTTCAAGAACCTTGAAATGTGTTATCATGATTGTCCGATTGTTCATTTTTGGGCATTGTCTCCCCATACTTATCCATGTAATTTTTTTCTTGGCCAAAGTTTGCCAACATTTTTGCTAATAAAAGACATTCTATTTCACTTTTTGTGTGCCTCTTCTGTTGACTGTTTCCTAATCATTCTTATTATTTTCTCATTAATACCTTGTAATGGAAGAAATGTGTGAATACATTCTTACTTTTTGATATTGAAATAATGATTGATAAATAATAACATGAAAGATTACTACATTACATTGGAAAGGTCAAGAGTGATAAAGGTAAATTTGATAAGAACATTGAATTTGAAAAGAGATTGCCTGCAGAATGGATACTAGAATTAAATGAAAGAGGTGATTAAGAGTTACACTGGCTTGGTTTTTGAAGAACAAAGGGTTCGATGCCCAAGAAAAGAGCTTAAGAAACTTGAGTACTATAATTAAATAAGAATTAATTAGCCAACATTTACATAGCATGCATTGAATTTCACACGCATTGCATAGCATATACTACATTTAAGAAAATATAGTGCATAAATTTAAGAAGCAGAGGTATTCCAAAATCCCACATGGAGAAGATAGATGAGAAGATATTTTTGAATTTGAGAAAAAGCTTGTCAAGTAAATTTTTAATCCTTGAAATAGGATATCTCTCGGTATCAAGGTTGATTTGTAAGACCTTTGGGCATAATCTCTTAAAATTCCTTCAAACACGATTTTTAACTCCTTTGGACGTGATTGTCAATGAGCATTTACTTTCAAAGTTGTGATGCCTCTGTTTAGAGGTGTAATTTATTTTTCAAAAAGTTGTGATACCTTTGTTTAAAGAAGCAATTTACTTTCCAAAAGTCATTGAGCTTCTGATTAGAGGAGCCTTTTATTTTTCAAAGTCGTTGAGCCTCTTACTAGAGGAACAATTTACTTTCCAAAAGTTTCCAAAAGTTGTTGAGCCTCTTATTAGATGAGCCATTTATTTTTCAAAGTCATTGAGCCTCTGATTAGAAGAGCAATTTATTTTTAAAGTTGTTGAGCCTCTGATTAGAAGAGCTTTGTTTATGTTTCTCAAAGTCGTTGAGTCTCTGCTTAGAGGAGCTTTGATCAAAATTTTAACACAAAAAAGTGAAAAAAAAAAGAAAAAGGTCGAATGGAGTCTTGAATGGGTGTCTACATCTTTGCGTAATTTCTGTTTCATAAAAAATATGCAAAGAGGGGCAGCTGTAGATACCCAATTTAGTCTAGGCCCGGATCAATTGGGGCTGGTCCAAATGGGTAAGCCCATTTGCATTTTTATTTTTATTTTTTATTTATTTGTCTATCATTACTATTATTATTTATTAATATATAAAATTTTTTAATTTATTTATCTATTAATATATTTTATTATTTATTAAAATATATATTATTTTATTTTTTATTTTTTTAGTATTATTTATCTATTAATATATATTTTTTATTTTTATCTTTTCGATTGGGATTAGGATAAAAAATTAGAATCTTATCGTGAATTTGAGATTCAATCAGAGTCTAGATTGGATTCAAGGATTGAATCCCAATCCAAGAAGGAATTGAGATTGATCAAAAATTCTTCTGATCAATCCCTATAAATAGATCCATAAATCACAAAGAACAAAACACAAACACACACGGAGAGAGGGATCAGAAGGAAAAGAAACAGAGAAGTGAAACAGAAGCTAAAGGTGTTTAGAGGCAGTATAGGATTTTTAAAGATTTTTTTTTAATTTTTGTATTTTTTTTCTGAAAAATTTTCAAAAATTTTTCAGAAACCAGTGAAATTTTTTGATGAACTTTAAATTTTTCAATGAGTTTTCTTACCAGATTTGAAGATTTCGATGGCTTTTTTTTTTTTTTTCAGATTTTGGTAGAAATTCAATAGGAATCTGAAATTGTTTAGATAGTATAAAGAGAAAATAGGGGAAGGAGAGAGAGAGAATGAGCCATCTGTGAAAAAAACAGAGGTTAGAGCCTTTTACACTTGCTGAAAATGACGTCATTTTGATGTTATTATTCTCAGAGGATCTACGCATTTTGAAATCGAGCGGCCCGACCCGAGTGTCAACTCGCGTTTGACCCGCGTTGACCCTTGTGCTAGCCGACTCTTAGAACCAAGTCGAGCCAAGCCGAGCCGATGTCTTCGAGCTGACTTTTCTATCTTGAGCCGAGCCATTTTTCAGCCAAGCCGAGTAGTTCCAAAGGTTTTTTTTTAATTTATTATTTATTATTATTATTATTTGTTGATTAGATTAGAATTATTTAGTATTCCTTATTTTATTTTATTTTTATTTTTATTTTTATTTTATTTTTTAAAAATGATTTTCTTTAAATAAAACTTTTAAAAAATATTTTTGAGGAAAAGTTGAAAGTATTAATTTTCTTTGAAAATAAGTTTTTTTTTTCTAAAAAATATTTTTGAGGAAAAGTTGAAAGTATCAATCTTCCTTGAAAATAAGTTTTCAGAAAAATATTTTCGAGAAAAAGTTAAAAGTATCAATTTTATTTGAAAATAATTTTCTAAAAAAAGGTTTTTTAGAAAAAGTTGAAAGTATCAATTTTCTTCGAAATTAAAGTTTTGAAAAAAAATTTTGGAGGAAAAGTTGAAAGTATCAATTTTTCTTGTACAAAAGCAATGAGTTTTTGAAGAGAAAAGAATTTATATTTAAAGCTGAATCATTTTTTTTATTTCTTTTTCCTTTTGTGTCTTGATTTTTTTTAATGTTAAATAATCCGACGATGGAGCCTCTGCAAGTGAAACAATAATCTCCTTGTATATTCTTGAGGTGAAAGAATTTTTTCAATTTTCTGCTAAAAGTATTAGAGTCAATTGAGAGTAATTTTCAATAATTAATTACTTGATAAATTTTTAAGGCTTATTGAATAACACAAAATTAAGCTGGTACCATATTTCAATGGGCGTTGTGAGGGTGCTACAACCTTCCTCACACGTAATCGTACTCCCGAGCTCTATTCTGATTAGTAGACCTGAACTTATTCTTTTAAGGACCTTTAGGCTTAGGTGTTCCTCAAAAGGATAAATTCTTTAGGTGACCAATCGCACCTAAATAAAACAATATTGGTGGCGACTCCTAAAGCTAATGTCTAACGATATATCCCTAGATCTAGACATTATGATATGAATTTTAATAATTATAATAAAAAACTTTAATTATATAAAAAATTACACATATTGATGAACAATAATAAGAAAATATTTAAAAATAATTTAATTTTTTTTCAATACCAATGAAGAGATTAGACATATTAATGTTGTTATTTAAGGTAGTTTTATTTACCTAGGAAATTTTGCTTGTAATTGAAAAAAAAAATTAAAATAAAAAAATCGACAAAGCAATTCAATTGAAAAAATGTTTCACCGACCTTTGAAAAGAGTTTTATTGTTAAAAAGTTAAAGTTTTATTGTCCCATTGGAAGACCCTGATTTTGAAAAGATATAAAGATCATGTTTTCAAAAATTATTTATTATCCACAACGTAAGTTTTTAAATATCGAAGCACGAGAATTCTTAGAAGGTTTTATTCTCTATGCTGATCTCTCTCTTTTCCTCTTTTGTTTACTATATCACTCATCACATAGTCCTACACAATTAGTTTGGATGAATGTATTCATCTCTTTCATCATGGCCAAATTCTAAAATGAATATTGTGTGAGAAAGAGATTTCAACAAGAGCCTTTTCATCATCTCCATACTATAACCGAATGCCATTTTTTTTCTCTTGTTTGCAATGGTTGAATGCTATACATTGGAGTTTTTGGAGAGAAGCTGCTGCAATATTTTTTGCATGATTGAACCATAGCATTTTTAACTGCCCATGGCAGTTTTGATGGGCAGATTTGATTCAAAACTAATAAACAAAAAACCGCCCAAGGCAGTTTACATTTGTTGGATAAACCTCCAACCCATGAATGGTTGGCTTATTCTAACATTTTGGTAAATAACATAATTAAACTAATGTTGAATTCAGATAAGAAGTGTGCACCTAACTAGGAATTGTTATTTTACCTTTGTCATATTGTTTTTGTTGTAGTCACTCTACTTCGAACCAAATGTACAAATATAAGAGAAGCCAAGCAGAGTTTATCAAGTAAATTCAAGATTTTTTCTTATATTTATAATCTCAATTAATTTGTCCGTTCATGATCTCTTGCCCTTTAATATACTCGTTTAAAAAAATTTTTTTGTCTATCAAATAAATTTATTTACCAAAGAAATCTAATTACTAAGCAATATCTTTTAATCAATCAAACAATCAATCCAACTTTAAATAGGGATTTGAGGAACAATTTTTGAAAGAATTAGATAATAAAAAATTATCAACTAAGAAATTTTATTCTAATAAGCATTCCACTATCAATAAACAAAAAAATAAAACTTAGCTAATATTTTAATTAATAAAAATTAAAAAAAAATAATTAAGTTAATAAATTATAAAAAAATATCGTTCATTATTTATATTTCGGAGTTGGTATTCTTATATTGATAATGATAATATAATACAATATTCATTAGGAAACGAATCAACTCCTGTTTTAAAGTAGGACTTTGACAAAAGAATTGGATAATAAAAACTTAACAACTAAGAAATTTTATTTTAATAAGCATTCCACTTGCAATAAAGAAATAAATAAAACTTAGTTAATATTTTACTTTAATAAAAATTAAAAATAAAATAATTAAGTTTCATTTGTTTCTCTTACGAAATACAAATAAAAATAGAAATAAAAGGAGACTAACGGAGCTTCATATGTATCTCTTTGTCTCAATTACTGGATCTACTGTTTCTTTTGTCTTGCGATCTTACTCTTTCATGGCTTCTTCTTCTTCGTCCTCCTGTCGTCAACCAGAGTATCAAGTGTTTCTGAGCTTCAGAGGTGAAGAAACACGCCTTAACTTTACGAGTCATCTACTCAAAGCTTTGAAAGACCGTGGAATCTACGTCTTCTACGATGAAGAAACCCTGAAAATGGGAGAGGAACTTTCTCCAGCACTGTTGAAAGCAATAGCGGAATCGCAGATAGCCATAATCATTTTATCTGAAGGATATGCTTCTTCTTCATGGTGCTTGAGAGAACTCTCTGAGATCATGGAGTTGTATACTAAGGAACTACTTATTGTTGTGCCCATTTTCTTCCATATTAATCCGTCCGATGTGCGAAGCCTTAGTGGAAAATTTAAAAAATACTTTGATGAGCATCAAAGAAAGAAGCCGGCCCGTGACGTAAAGCAGTGGAAGGATGCTTTTGCTAAAGTAGCCGATGTGAAAGGCTGTCATATAGTGGAAAACTCACACAGGTAACTGTTTCTTCCTCTCTCGATTTGATTTTATGATCTTATCCGAATTTTGTAATTCTTTGTTACTTTCTTATTTGTTATTTGTTTTTCAACTAATTTTCTATTTTGAATCTCGTAATTCCTTGATCTCATATTGTATATGTATGTTGAATTGAGTTTTTTGTTTTCTTTATGAAAAAAAATTTACATTCATTTTATTTTATTTATTAGATCTGAATCCGAACACATTGAGGAAATCGTTAAAGGAGTTTGGAATAAGTTGAAGAGCAAGTCTCCAAGTGGTCATAATCAGAACTTGGTTGGGATAGATGATCAGAAGGCGAAAATTATATCTTGGGTACGTATGGATCAAATTCGAACAATTGGAATTTGTGGTATGGGTGGTATAGGCAAAACAACTCTTGCTGAAGCTGTTTATGATGAAGTCTCTTCTGATTTTCATTATCATTACTTTCTTTATAATGTGCGAGAAAATTTTGAAAAAAAAGGAAGGCAGTCTTTACGAAATGAATTTCTTAGCAGTTTATTAAAGCAAGACGCTTCCTCATTATCCAATTTAGTGCTCCGCGTTAAAAGAGTATTTGTTGTCCTTGATGATGTCGATGAGCCTAACCAACTAGAAGATTTATGTGTTGAACATTTTGGTCGTGGAAGTAAAATCATTCTAACATCCAGAGATCAACAAGTATTAAGAAATGGAGATGGAAAAATATATGAGGTAACGAAGTTAAGTGAGGATGACTCTCTTAAACTCTTTTCTAAATATGCCTTTAAGCAAGACAATCCTATTGCTGATTTCCGTGATCTATCAATTAGGTTTGCAAATTATGCTCAAGGCCTTCCACTTGCTCTTAAAGTTTTGGGTTCTGCACTATTATCAAAACATAAAGAAGATTGGGTAAGTGAAATGGATAAGCTAAAGAAGTATCCCGAAAAAAAAGTCTTTGATACATTGAAGATTAGTTTTGATGGACTGGATGAGTTAGAAAGGGATATATTTCTTGATGTTGCATTCTTCTTTAAAGGGAGAATCAGAGAGGATGTAACAAAAATACTGTATAGTTCTTATAAATGTAATGTACGATCTGCAATAACCAAGCTAGAGGACAAGTGCCTACTTGATATTTCAACACCTGACAATATTCTTTGGATGCATGATTTGCTAGAAGATATGTGTTGGAATATAGTTCGCCAAGAGTCGGATGATCCTAGAAAACGCAGTAGGTTACGTGGACCTGTCGATGTTCCTCTTGTGTTAAAAGATAATAAGGTAAGAGCTAATTGCTTTTCACACACACCTTTTTCTTCTTCTATTTGAATAAATAGATAAATATGTATGTGCGTATTTGCAAGAAAATTTCATCATATTGATACTTGATAATTTGCTTTGGGCTATTAGGTGACAGATTCGGTTAAAGGGATATCTTTTGAACTCCGTAAAACTCTAAAAATTTGTGATGCTGCTTTTGAAAAGATGACCAATCTTCGATATATCAAGCTGTATTGCCCAGATTTGGTCGGTCATTCTGTTTTGTTTAAAAAGTGGGTTTTGTTCCACGATCTGAAATATCTTTCTGATGAGCTATGCTATCTTCATTGGGAGTATTATCCCTTTAAAGCTTTGGGATCAAACTTTAGTCCAAAGAACCTAGTTGAATTAAGATTACCGTACGGCGAAAAAATCGAACTACTTTGGAGTGGAGACCAGGTATTCTTATTTAATGTCTTATTCATTCAAAGGTTAATATTTTATGTTCATTAATTACTTCTCTCTTTTATTTTATTTTATTTTTATTGTTAGTATGGCCTACAATTTAGAGATTTAGAACTGGTCTAGTTATCTTCCACTTTCATGCAGGATCTACAAAATTTAAGAGTGCTTGACCTCAACCGCTGCTCTAAGTTACGCGAGATCCCAAATCTCTCAACAGCCATAAACCTTGAGGAATTAATATGTAACGGCTGCAGGTGTCTGGTTGAACTTCCTAGCATGAAACATTTGACGTCCCTTAAACGGCTAGGTCTATCATGTTGTGAAAATATCAAAAAGGTTCCCAATTTTCCAGAGAAGATAGAAGAAATATATATGGCAAACACTTCAATTGAAGACGTTCCCTCATCATCAATCTCTAGGATTAAAAGCCTCCAAAAATTGGTAGTGACAAGATGCCAAAGGCTTAAATCATTGCTAGGGCTCCCACCATATCTAGAAAAAATAGAAGCAGATGGATGCAGTTCATTACAAACAGTTTCGTTCACTGATCAATATCCAAATATATTCCCCGAGCATGACTTGATTGTAGTTGATAGTCCGTTCCAACTGAAACGACTTGACTCGATTGTATTTGAAAACTGCATCAAACTGAATCGAGATGCAATCAACAACATTGTGGCTAATACACTGCTCAAGATTGAGTGCATTACAAAGCAATTGGTGGAGAGATCTACAGTGGAATCGGCAAAGGGGCTGGTAGAGAAAGTGGACTCCAATTGGATGGATTATAAAACATTAATGTGCAGCAGCGGGGGATCGGTAGGGTACCCCGAAGGCAAAGTTTATGAAACAAGTTACTACAAAGTGAAATTGGTTTGTGTTTTACCTGGATGTCAAATGTTAGAACAGTTCGAGCGTTGGAGCAGGTATTCTTCAATAGCTGTGGAGCTAGATCCAGATAAGTGTAGTAGTGGATTAGTGGGGTTTGCTTTATGCATTGTCCTGAACCGTTATGGACCGGGTGTGCACTTTAGGTTCAAATCCCAACTGAGAACCACAAGCGGTGATTGTCATACTTTCATACATAGTTGTTCTCCCATTAATGGTGATGGTTATGAGGGCAGCGATCATGCACGTTTCATTGTCTTTGATCACAATATGCTTCACGAAGCCATGCCTTATGTAGGGGCATCATTTAAATTTCAATCCTACTTCACCCATTTGGATTGCGTTGGTGTTCATGTATTCTATATAGATGCAGCCATAATCCGGCGAAAGGTCCAGCTCTCTGATGATGTTGAATCCAGTGAAATTTTCCTGACCGAAGAAGATATTGGGCAGACAAAAAGTTCTGGCTCTGAGGAAGATCAAAGAAATTTTAGCCCTGACAATGGACATGAGCCAGAGCCTAATAAGATTAAAACTATTTTCTCTCTCTTGATCGAGGGTCTACAAAAGTAAGTGGATGATTTAATTTGTGATACTAGTTACTTTTTCTACCATCTTTTTTAGTGAATTCTCACCATAATGCATACGATACAATAAAAAACATTTATGAATTGTTACTAATTTCTGAATCTATAAATAATATCTGTTATAATTTGTAATGCCCAATAACCAAAAAGTTTCCAATCAAATGATTTGCTTTAAAAGCAATAGCTTCACCTTTTTCATTTTTTTGATCATGATGAAAATAATTACAGTTTGAATATAAAAAAAATTTTGAATTAAAATTAAATTATCATTTAAACTTTTAAAATTTTATTATAATCAATTAAATCATTGAATATTTATTTTCACTCAATTGAACATTTGATTAGATGAAAATTAATCACTTAGGTTATGTGATTGTGAGATATGATAACTGTTAATTAATCTTTGTTCAATTAACAAGTTAAATTTAATAAAAATAAAATTTTGAACACTCAATAGTTGCAATAAAATGGTAAAAATTAGATAGTTTAATTTTAGTTTAATTTTTTTTATATTTAAGGCAAAAATTACTTACTAATGTTAGAGAAAATGAAACCTTATATATCTCCATTGTTTGAGAAATTTCAGCCTAAAAATAATAAGAAATTTCTTTCAAGAGTTAGATGTTGAATTTCTTTGAATAACTTTTTTCTCCCAAAAGGTTGCTTATTGCCTCCTTTCCTTTTATTTTCTTTCACAGGATGCTGCAAAAGGTATTCTTCCCATGTAAGGGAAAAGTGGAGCATGCTTGAAGTTGAAAAAATCTGTAAGGAACTTGGATGCCAAAATTTTGTAATTTTCTTATGTTTGAATCTATTCCTTTCAATTATCAGATACATAGCGTAATGCGGAAGTCTTTATGTAAGATTCTCGTGTTTTTCTCTCTCTATCTCTTTTTTTTTTTTTTTTTTTTCTGGGTCTTGACTGTTTGTTCCCCTCTTTTTACTTTTTCCTTTCTCATGAATTATTACCTCTATTTCAAGCTCCACTTATCTCTTCTATTTTGTGCTTTTTTTTTTTTATTTCTTTTTGAAATTTCCCCTCAGTTCTTAAGTTTTTCTAAAAAATATAAAAATTCTAACTAGGTGACTTCATTTTAAAGTGCCTTTGCTTTAACTGCCATGACATGAGTAGATCCTACATTAGATTTAACTGCTTCCTCTCGAGTCTCCCTCACTTGCTCTGTATTGCCTATTTCGTGTGGCTTTCTCATGTATTCAGCATGTAGATTAGAGGCTCAATAATTGATGCTAATAAACCATTATATCTCTAGTGTTTGGTATTTTTTGAGTTTTGCTTGGTACATCTCAAAATATCTTCAGGCTTTTTGATGAGTGCCAAGATTTGGATGCAAGTATATTTTGAAATTGTATATTGTTGAGGTTAATGTCCATGTGTGCAAGTAGTCTTAAATTATATCATGCATGCTTCTAGCATGAAACCTTTTCTTGGTGTATTTATAAAGGGAATGTCAGTGTATGTAATATTCTGTCTGCTTTTACGTACAAAGTTTGACTCGTAGAAATAAGAGTTATAACAATATGCTTTATTGGTAGGAGGCTAATGCCTAAGATGGCTGATTTTGAAGGCAAGGCAACAACATCAGACTCCATTACAAGGAAACCGATTTTTGAGCCCATCTTAGAGGATGAAGTTTTTCGTTTTGACTGCTCTGCAAATGATAAAAGATACGATGTATCACTACTTTTGAGCGCCTTTTGGGATATTAGATTGTCACACGGTTGTGATATTGCACTGCCTTTCTTTTTTTTTTTTTTTGTTGTAAATGTAGCCTTTGCAAACTCTTGAACCTTTGTTATCCAGCATATTATGTTTTCACATGGTGCGCTTTTCTAGTAGAATTTGAAGTATTTGTTATGTATGAACTTATTTTTTCGATAACTGAAATGATGGATTTGTTTGAGATGAGTTTTTTAGTCTTTATTAAGGCTTGTATACAAACACGTTGTTGTCGAGGCACTCCCAGAGTAGGATCCACTGTCATCTGAGGGCAAATTCTGCCAGAAAAAAGTTCTTGTCATCCTTGATGATGTTAGTGATTCGGAGCAACTCGAAACTATTAGTCATGATTAAGTTTCTGAATGTAGAATCATTGTAAGATCTAGAGATAAACAAGTCCTAAAGAATGAAGTTGATTCACTTGATATGGTATACATCAGTTTCAAGAATTAAATTAAGATGACTCCGTTCGACTTTTCTCTCAATACGCCTTCAAGCAGAAATTTCCTCCCACTGATTTTGAGACTGTTATCAAACATGATCGTGGAATATGTTAAACGCGTTCCACTTGCTCTTAGTCTTGGGTCGGGCACTGTAAGTCAATAAATAAATAATGGGGTTTTGATGATGAACATCAAAATTATTAATAAATAAAAGGTGAAACTGAAAATGAAGTGCAATTTTTGGGATTGGGAAGATTTTTAGACAAGAGAAAATGGGTCTGATAAAAAGAATATTCCAAGACAAAAAAAAAGGGGTAGAGAAAAAGAATGTTTAGCTTTGTTTTGCTTCGTTGCCAGGGGGTGTCTTGTAATTAATAAATTTTAGGGCCCTGATACGTAGAGAAAACTGGAGTTCATGGCAACGCCGGGCAATAATAACAAAAGCCCAAGTTTTTTCCAAAAGGGCGAAAAGAAAAGCCCAACTTTTTGGGTCAAAATTATGTTGAACTTGGATCATAAGTCTATTACCTAAGGCCTGCCATCAATTTGGGGTGTAGAAAGCTGACCAACACCAAGAAATCCTTTTTTTTTTTTTTTTTGTTAATGCTAATAATTTTGAATAATTAAAAGATTAATCTTACAAAAATTTTAATTTTTTATGTTTCAATAAGTTTTAAAATATTTTATTTCCTATAAAATTGATTAAACGGAAAACAAATGACTGACAAGCTTCATTTTAACAGTAAGTTATAGATTATTATTTTAAAATAAAAATAAATATTCACTTGCAACTCTTTATGATAATAAATACTAATGCACTTAAAGATATTACCAATTAAAATATTGATATATATTCAAAAGAAAACATTTATGTACATGATAATTAGGATATTGAAACAATAATAAAAAATTCATATACATGCTATGGAACTAGAGATTTAGTTCAAGTCAATTTTAAAATATCACATTTCCAGTAGATATGAGATTCAAATCACATTATTTACAATTCTTTTTTCGCTTCTTAGATTATTACATTTTTTGTACAAAAAAGAATCATATATATGATGTCACTTTCAAAACAAAAAAAAAAATTACACCACTAGTCAACATGCATCACTTTTCTAATTCCTCAATATTTGCATTAGATCAAAATTTTCAAAATCATATTTTAGAAAATCAAGTGACTTACATATATGGTAATTGATTTTCCCCATGAACATTAGGCGGTATAAAACCCGAAAAATATAGTATTAAATTTAGTTAACTTGCTTTACACAATTTTAATTAGTGAAAGTATAAAACACATATATGGCAATGGAAATTAAGCGACATACATCCAAATGACATACACATTTGTCGTTGATGATAATTTTTCAAGCTAAACAAATGCTAAATATATACCAATGGCATTGAGTTGCTACATTCATAAAACTCTCCTATCCTAACCTTAATAGCTTTTCCTAACATTTCTTTCTCACTTTTGGATCTTTCACGGTATATTTTGCTAACCAAATTGGATGTTGGCAGTCAAGTAATCTCAGTGGTTGGCTTTTATCTACACATTTTATCGATCCATATATATAATTCAAAACATGATCATAAACTCAATTTTTTTTTCATTTTTCTATCATCCATTAATGTAAATTTAATTATAAAAATTCACCTTCTATGATCCAATTTATTATAACATTTTATTTTCCATGATCCAATTTCAAGAGAAGAAATTTCAAAACTTCGAGGAGCCTTGATGTTTTTAACTTTGTATGATTTGAGAAAATTATTTTCCCTTGCTGATAATGTTAAATAACATTGCCATCAAACTCTTAATTAATTTTTTTATAATTAGTATATAAAAGCTACTTATAGAATTGAACAAAATAAGAATAAAAATAAAGAGAAAGAAAATGAAAATGAAAATAAACTTTAAAAAACATGTTCATGGGGATTTTCTTCAAAATCCTCAAGAAGTGTCCCCTTACCTACAATAGGATTTTCTTAAAAAAAATCCACAAGAAATGAATTTGTGGATTTTATCAATCCATAATGAGATTTTTTTAAAAATTCAAATAAAAATCTTTTCTCATTTATCTATATAGATGACTTATCTCGTCAGAGAGGGTTTTCCTGCCTTTTCTGAATTGTTATGAACAACAATCAAATGCACCATTGTGCACATATAAATTTTTGTAATCAACTATCATTTTAAGATTCTTTTTTATGGTTAGGCATCTTATTTCCTGTTGATCAATTTTATCAATCTATAGAGATGTAAATGGAATTGTGTTTCATAAGCATTAGGAAATGCAAATATATATATATATATATATATATATTGTGGACATCAAATTTGTCCCAAAAAAATTATTAAATACAGTACACAAAAAAATATAAAATATAAAATACTAAAAAAATACAAAATACCAAAGAAAAATTAAAAAAAAAAAACAAACAGAACCAAAAAAATGGGGGATGGCAGTGGTGCCGGGGAAGGCACCACTGCCACCATATCCTATTGCCCATCCCTCACCTTGCCCTATCCCCACCACTCTGATCACCTTACCCTACCACTTATACCACTACTCTCGCTCAATTGGATAAAACAGAAAAAATAATAAGGCATGGGCTCGTGCTTACACCCCATGCGAGCCCTGTGCCCTTCTCTCAAGTACACGCACGGTCGGAGCTCTATAAATAGAGCTCTTAGCCAAATCAAAAAAACAAACAAATGAGGAAAGACGTTGTAAAAAAAATGAAAAAAAACACTACAAACTCAAAAAAAGAAACACAGTCCTCCCCATCGGGAGGAACCCAACGCCGAGAGCTTCCTGCAAAAAAAAATCAGTTTAAAAAAAAAGAGTCAGAATACAAAAAAAAATAATTTCACCGAAACTTTGAAAGTAGATCTAAGAAAGTGGCGACTCTTTTTGGTGAAAAGGAGGTCGGATCTGGGTTTAAGAGGTCGAAAAGAATTTGTGGGTATTTTTTAAAATTTTTCGACACCGACGACGGCTGTCGGAGCTCGCCGTCGGCAAGGATTAAAAAAAAAAAAAAACGTTTTTTTATAGGAAAGAAGGAAATGATCGAAAAAAATTTTTTGACTTTTATATAAGCTGTCAATAGTCAAAACGATTTCGTTTCAATAAACGCTCAAAACGACGTCATTTTAAGCACCTAGGATCTGCACGTCAACCCGCGATCCGACCCGGGGTCCGTACACCCGAACCGCGACCCACTTCTCCATCAGCCTCTGACCGAATCGGTACCGAACCACTGAACCAATCAGATCACGCTCAAACCGAGTCAAACCGAGTCAAACCGCATCCGAACCGTCGAACCGAACCGCACGTTGATCGGTCCAGTTCAGGTAAAAAAATTTTTTTAAAAAATATTATTTTGGTTATTTTGGTTATTTTGGTTATTATTTTATTAATATTTATGCATATTAAAATATTTATATTTGATAGATTAAATGATAAAATATTTTTTTATAATTTTGTTAATTTTTAAAATGAACTTTAAAAATAAAAAAATAAACTTAATAATAATACCAAAATAATAAAAATGCAAGAAAAAAAATGTTTATTCGACGATGAGATTCAAAGGTACTCCGAGTAGTGATACCTACAAAATCTCTACGTGAGAAATTTTTTTTTAAATACTATCAATGTATTGAAATATTTATAAAAATTTTCAATACAATAAAAAAAAATTCTTATAAAATAATAATAAATAAAAATTGATTAATAAATTAAAAATATAAGTAATAAAAATAGGAAGAAAAAAATTTTATCCAATAATAGGATTATAAAAATATTTCGAGTAAAGATGTTTTCAGAAATTCGTAGGTGAAAAATTTTTTTGTAATATATTATCATTGTATTGAAATATTTATAGACAATCTTCAATATAATTAAATTTTTTTCTTCAAAATTTCAATTAAAAATTTTAATAATTTCAATCTCAAGATCTAGACGTTATAATATAAATTTTAATAATTATAATAAAAAAACTTTAATTATATAAAAAATTACACATATTGATGAACAATAATAAGAAAAAATTTAAAAATAATTTAATTTTTTTTCAATACCAATGAAGACGATTAGACATATTAATGTTTTATTTAAGGTAGTTTTATTTACCTAGGAAATTTTGCTTGTAACTGAAAAAAAATATTTAAAATAAAAAAATCGACAAAGCAATTCAATTGAAAAAATGTTTCACCGACCTTTGAAAAGAGTTTTATTGTTAAAAAGTTAAAGTTTTATTGTCCCATTGGAAGACCCTGACTTTGAAAAGATATAAGAGTATTGTTCAAAAAGCAATTCAATGACAGAATAAGAGTCATGGAAACTTCACGTGAGCTTCCCAATAGCTAATCCTATTTCAATTTAACCAGGGATAAAAAATAAGTATATCACCTAATTCCGCCTTAATTTCATCACTTTATTATTATACTTTTTATTTTATGACTTATACAAAAAGTCAATAAAAAAATAATATTTCATGAAATATTTTAATAATACGTTTAAAATAAATTTTAAATAACATAAAAAATATGATATGGATATTCTGTAATATAAAAAATGTATAGGTGATTTACCATATTGAAAGAAGTTGTTATTTATTATTAAATTTTATATCAAAATATATATTTTATGAATATTAACTTTGAAATAATTTACAATTTTCATTAAATCTTGGTCAAGAACTTAACAAATAAAAAAGGTCAATTTTTGTCAAAAAAATAAAAAAAGTCGAAAATATTAATAAAATTTATTTAGAAATTTAAGATAATGTTTTTATTTAAAATTTTTTTTAAATATATTAATAAAATCTTTTGGTCAATAGTTACATATTAGATTCTATGTTTGGATGTTGCGATGTGGTCTCAATTTGTTTGCATTATTGTATTTTTTATGCTGTTAAAATTTTATTTATTTTATTTTTATTATTTTGGAAGCTGTTAAAGTAATTGTTTTTATAATGTTTCTTTTACACATACATTTAAGTGAGAATTTTGTAGCAAATCCGAAAGTAAATTATACGGGTGGACATGTAAATGTATGGAATGTAAAATTTAATGTGATTTCATTCACTGTGTTATACAATATGATAAAAGAGGTTGATTATGATAGTACTAGTATATTTTATTATTTAACATCAGGGTCTAAAGTTAAGGATGAATTAATATTATATTATAATAATGCATCATTTATTATGATGGATTATATGAGGACAATAAAAAAAATACATGTATAAGTAGAATATGGGTTGATACACTTGAAATTGTGGATGATATATTATTATTGTCAAATCAGGACCATTATGAAGAATTTAAGAACAACAATAAACAAAATGCATCTAATGTAAAGGATGGAACTAATTAAAATATAAATTTATAAAGAGATGTAAATATTAATAGGATAAATAATAATAATGTAAGTGAAAATACTTTGGGAGATACATTTGTATATTTCATAATAGTAGAAGAAGGTACATACGAAGGTTCACATGAAGATACAAATGAGGACAATTGAAAAGATGTTTCGTGTAATCATATAACGTCCCAATCATGGACGGAAACATAGACAGCAATTAAAGTTTTATTATTGCATTTGAAGACCTTGACTTCGAAAAAATATTTATTTTATTTTAACATTTTATAAAAATATATTATAATTTTTTTCAACATAACACGTTATTATATTTATAATTTTGCTATATGTAAAATATTAATGTCATATTTTATATTAAATTTGAAATTTAAAATTAAATATATTAATAAATATTCTACTAAATTGCTTGACTATCTTTCACCGCACTAAATGAGAAAGCTATTCAATTGAAAAGATGTTTCAATTAATCGCTCATGTCCCAATCACACTAAAATGTGGTTTAATGTTGTTATTTAAGGTAGTTTTATTTACTTATGAAAGTAATTTTTGCCTATAATGAAAAAATATATTTGAAATAATTTTTTTTATTATTTTATTAATATTTGTAAATATTTTTTTACTCATAATATTTTTACACAAATAATACTAAACAAGTACAATTTCAAATCATATATTTTATCATAAAAGTTTAATCACATTTTTTACCAAAATTATCGTAACATTAATGCTAGATTAGCTAAAATCGATAAAGCAATTCAATTCGACCAAAAAAAAAACACAAATCATAAATAAACGTTAATGATCGTTTAGGTAATGTCCCAATCATAAATAAACGCGAAGACAAAAAAAATTAAAGCTTTGTTGTCGTATCAGAAGACCTTGACTTTGAAAAAATATAAATAGAGGTATAATTGAGTCAAGTCGAAACGATATAATGAGAAGTTTAAGTTTGAGTTTGAACTCGATTCAAAATTTACGGTTCGATACTCATCTTAAACTCAATCGAATTTTATTTTTTTAATTCGAGTTTGATTCGTGATCGAATTAGAGCTACCCAAGCTCGTTCGATTAATATATAAAAATAAACTCAATTCATATACTTGACAAAAGTTCGATTATTTATGCTTGAGCTCGAACTCGAATTCGAAATATTTTATTAATTAAAATATAAAAATATATTTAAATATAAAAGCTCGATTAGGCTCGTGAGTTACTCGAGTTGGGTATAAAAATACTCGAATTCGACTTGATCGATAAGTTGAGCTACTCGAGCTCGAGCTCGACTCGATAATAATCGAACTGAATTTGAGTTTTCTTCGAATCGAACCTGAATAATTTACGAATACTAATGTATTATTTACACCCCTGGATATAAAGATGTTTCGTTCATGAAATTGAATTTTGAGAGAAAGTGTCATATTTGTAAAAATTTAATATTCGAAATTTTGTTTGATTCGTAAGATATTTCATAATTAGATTCATTTATCTGATTAACAAAAAATTGATTTCGTAATTCATATATACTTATCATAATTTTTTTTATAAGCTATAGATAATTTTTTATTTTATTTTAATAAAAAATTCTAAACTGACAAATGGTATTTTTAATAACAAAAAAAAGATTTAAAATTTTTTTAATTAAATATACCAAATTATGACATTTAATTAGACATCAAGTTGTAATTATTGTATTAAAATATAATAAAATATCAATTAGGGTGTTTGATAGAGTTGAACACCTTATTTGCTTTTATAAATATGTTAAAAAATATCAAATAAAGTATTTGTTAAAAAAAATGCCTTATTTAAATTTGTAAAAATTCTGAAAGATTATCTATTAAATAAAGTATTTGTAAAAAGAAAATGCCTTATTTGAATGGGTTTTGTAAATATGTTGAAAAAAAAAATCAAATAAAGTGTTTGTTTAAACAAATGTCTTATTTGATACTTTTATAAAAATATTAAATAAAATGTTTGTAAAAAAAAAAAACATCATCGTTTTATTTGAATGGATCAAATAAGAAGCATGTTCAAAGAAACGCATTATTTAATGCTTTTATAACAATTCTGAAAAAAAAAACATTTGTAAAAGGAAAATTCATTATTTAAATTGATCAATTAAGGTGTTTATTCAAAGAAACACTTTATTTGATTCCTTTGTAAAGATTTTGAAAAAAAATCAAATAAAGTGTTTGTAAAAAAAAAAAATTTATTTAAATTATTCAATTAAGACGTTTCTTATTTGAAACACCTTTAATTATCACATTAAAACTGAACTAAAAAGAAAAAGCTAAAATTGAGTTTCAGATTTATTTTTTAAAAAGGATAACATGACAAGTTTTTTATTTAAGTTAAATTTAAAAATAAAGTATTTTTTTCCTCCAAAATTTTAAAATATCATAAAAAAATGAGTTTTTTATTTTAAAATTTTAGATACTGTTAAAATTTTAATTTATTTATAATCAAATTATTTTAAATTAAATATGAAAAATAAATATCCATTATTAAAATTTAAACAAATTTGTGAATTCTCTAAAATTAATCGTACTCTAAAAGTATTGTTCGAAAAACAAGTCAATGAATAAAAAGAGTCGTGAAAACTTTATGAGAGCTTCCTTATAGCTTTAATCCTATTTCAAGTTAATTAGGGACAAAAACTAAATATATCACCTCATTCTGCCTTAACTTCATTAAATTTTATTTATACTTTTTATTTTATGACTTTTACATGAAGCCAATGGAAAAAAAATATTTCATAAAATATTTTAATAATATATTTAAAATAAAATTTAAATAACACAAAATATGATATAGATATTTTGTAATATAAAAAATTTTAGGTGATGTAACATATTGAAAGATATTATTATTTATTTATTATTAAATTTTATATTAAAATAAATAGTATATGAATATTAAATTTAAAATAATTTAAAATTTTGGTCAATAACTTAACAAATAAAAAAGGTCAATTTTGGTCAAAAAAAATAAAAAGGCTAAAAATATATTAATAAAATTTATTTAGAAACTTCAGATTATATTTTTATTTAAAATTTGTTTTAAATATTTAATAAAATATTTTCAAAAAGTGCTCCATTGTGTTCAATCGACAAAGCAATAGAATTGAAAAGATGTTCCACCGACTTTTTTTCTGAATGCGCTGGTAGCTGCATTAAAATGATCTATATGATCAATTTATTTGTGGGAAAATATCCCTCGATCATTTTTTTTTTTCATTATCCTTTTAAGCTGCTAAATTGTAAATACACAACAATTGAAAAGATATTCATGCAATGGCCCCATTAATGTAAGTTTCAGGAAGTTTCCTTGAAATAGGAAGGAAACATTCATGCAATGACCCATTCATACAAGTTTTACTTGGGGCTGACAAAAATAACATAGAAATAAAATGAAAAAAAAAAAGACAATTTGAAAATGACATTCATGGAAATTGACATATTGAATTCAAGTTCTATTATTCCTGAGTTGGATTTTTGAAATAAAATCCAACCAGAATAATTAAAGACTTGACTCTGCGGTCCTCTTATTGCATTTTTTATTGTAGGATTGGACACCATTTGCCAAAATGTAATTAAATTAATGTTTTCAAAAATATTGTAATAAATAAGCTTTATGGTGGTGAGGAAAACTTTTAACTTTTTTTTTTTTTAAAGTTAAAGCTCCTCCTTTTTAAATAGTATAAAAAAACTTTTCTTCAAAGGAATGAAAATAAAAGGAGACTAACAAAGCTTCGTTCGTTGGCTCTTTGTCTCAATTACTGGATCTTCTTTTCTTTTGTCATACGATCTTACTCTTTCATGGCTTCTTCTTCTCCTTCGTCCTCCAATCGTCAACCAGAGTATGACGTTTTTCTGAGCTTCAGAGGTGAAGAAACTCGCCTTAACTTCACCAGTCATCTACTCAAAGCTTTGAAAGACCCTGGAATCAACGTCTTCTACGATGAAGAAACCCTGAAAATGGGAGAGGAACTTTCTCCAGCACTGTTGAAAGCAATAGCGGAAGCACAGATAGCCATAATCGTTTTATCTGAAGGATATGCTTCTTCCTCATGGTGCTTGAGAGAACTATGTGAGATCATGAAAAGGTATACTGAGGAACAGCTTATTGTGGTGCCCATTTTCTACAATATTAACCCGTCCGATGTGCGAAACCTTCGTGGAAATTTTAAAAAATCCTTTGATGAGCATCAAAGAAAGAAGCCGGCTGGTGACGTAGAGCAGTGGAAGGGTGCTTTTGCTAAAGTAGCGGATTTGAAAGGTTGTCATATAGTGGGAAACTCATACAGGTAACTGTTTCTTCCTCTCTCGATTTGATTTTATGATCTTATCTGAATTTTGTATTTCTTTGTTAATTACTTTGTTATTTGTTTTTCAACTAATTTTCTGTTTTGAATCTCGTAATTCCTTGATCTCATATTGTATATGTTTGGTGAATTAAGTTTTTTGTTTTCTTTATGAAAAAAATTTATTTTCATTTTATTTTATTTTTTAGATCTGAATCTGAACACATTGTGACAATCGTTAAAGAAGTTCGGGATAAGTTGAAGAGCAAGTCTCCAAGTAGTCATTCTCAGAAATTGGTTGGGATAGATGATCAGAAGGCGAAAATTGTATCTTGGGCACGTATGGATCAAATTCGAACAATTGGAATTTGTGGTATGGGTGGTATAGGCAAAACAACTCTTGCTGAAGCTGTTTATGATGAAGTCTCTTCTGATTTTCATTATCATTGCTTTCTTTATAATGTTCGTGAAAATTTTGAAAAAAAAGGAAGGCAGTCTGTACGAAATGAATTTCTTAGCAGTTTATTAAAGCATGACGCTTCCTCATTATCCAATTTAGTGCTCCACTGTAAAAGAGTATTTGTTGTCCTTGATGATGTCGATGAGCCAAACCAACTAGAAGATTTATGTGTTGAACATTTTGGACTTGGAAGTAAAATCATTCTAACATCCAGAGATCAACAAGTATTAAGAAATGGAGATGCTAAAATATATGACGTAACGAAGTTAAATGAAGATGACTCTCTTAAACTCTTTTCTAAATATGCCTTTAAGCAAGACAATCCTATTGCTGATTTCCGGTATCTGTCAAATATGTTTGTAAATTATGCTCAAGGCCTTCCACTTGCTCTTAAAGTTTTGGGTTCTACACTATTATCAATGCCGAAAGAAGATTGGATAAGTGAAATGGATAAGCTAAAGAAGTTTCCCGAAAAAAAAGTCTTTGATGTATTGAAGATTAGTTTTAATGGACTGGGTGAGTTAGAAAGGAATATATTTCTTGATGTTGCATTCTTCCTCAAAGGGAAAAACAGAGAGCGTGTTACAAAAATACTGGATAGTTGTTATAAATGTAATGTACGATCTGCAATAACCAAGCTGGGGGACAAGTGCCTACTTGATATTTCAACACCTGACAATATTCTTTGGATGCATGATTTGCTAGAAGATATGTGTTGGAATATAGTTCGCCAAGAGTCGGATGATCCTAGAAAACGCAGTAGGTTACGTGGACTTGATGATGTTCAACTCGTGTTAAAAGATGATAAGGTAAGAGCTAATTGCTTTTTACACAAACCTTTTTCTTCTTAAATATGAATAAATGAATAAATATATATGTGCGTATTTGCAAGTAAATTTCATTATATTGATACTTGATAATTTGCTTTTGGCTATTAGGTGACAGATTCGGTTAAAGGGATATCCATTGAAATCCATGAACCACCACAATTTTGTCCGGCTGATTTTGAAAAGATGACCAATCTTCGGTTTATCAATCTCTATCCTATTTCTTGGTCAGCTGTAAATGCTATTATATCTGACAACTGGAACGACGATCAGATATTTCTTTCTGATGAGCTATGCTATCTTCATTGGCGATATTATCCGTTTAAATCTTTGGGATCAAACTTTAGTCCAAAGAACCTTGTTGAATTAAGATTACCGCGTAGCAAAGTCGAACTACTTTGGAGTGGAGACCAGGTATTCTTATTTAATGTCATTCATTCAGCGATTAATTTTTTAGTTCATTAATTACTTCTCTCTTTTATTTTTTTGTTTCATTTTTGGTATAGCCCACAATTTAGAGACTTAGAACTGATCTAGTTATCTGCCACTTTCATACAGAATCTACAAAATTTAAGAGTGCTTGACCTCCAACTCTGCAGTAAGTTACGCAAGATCCCAAATCTCTCAACAGCTATACACCTTGAGGAATTAATATGTACCCACTGCCATAGTCTGGTTGAATTTCCCAGCATGAAACGTTTGACGTCTCTTAAAAGGCTAGATCTGAAGAATTGTCTTAGTCTGAAAAAGTTTCCTGAATTTCCAAGTCATTTAAATGTATTAGATTTAACTGGCACCGGGATTGAAGAAGTACCTGATTCGATCGGCGATCTCCTACAACTTAGAAAGTTATCTTTGTCTTCCTCAAGCCTTATAAATGTTTCAAGCAATCTTTCTAAGTTGGAATCTCTTACTGATCTAGAACTCCGTGGACGCCAAATCACCGAATTTCCAGAAATTCCCAAAAATCTATCCAAATTATGTGTGGCTTGGACTGGAATAGAACGAGTGCCATCATCCATAAGCTGGCGAGATAAACTTCAAGTTTTAGATATGGAAAGCACAAGGATTCAAAATCTTCCAAGCAGTATTATTGAGTTGGAGGCTCTTAAAGTTATCAAACTCTTTGATTGCACCCGTATCACCAACTTTCCCAATTTTCCAGAGAAGATAGAAGAAATATATATGAACAACACTTCAATTGAAGAAGTTCCCTCATCATCAATCTCTAGGCTTAAAAGCCTCAAAAAATTGGTAGTGAGAAGATGCCGAAGACTCAAATCATTGCTAGGGCTCCCACCATATCTAGAAACAATAGCAGCAGATGAATGCAGGTTATTACAAACAGTTTCGTTCATGGATCAAGATCCACGTACATTCCAACTGAAACGACGTGACTTGATTGCATTTAAAGACTGCGTCGAACTGAATGGAGATGCAATCAACAACATTGTGGCTAATACACTGCTCAAGATTGAGTGCATTACGGAGCAATTGGTTGAGAGATCTACAGTGGAATCGACAAAGGTGCTGGTAGAGAAAAAGCACTCCAATTGGATACGGCGAGAGCACATCAAAGAGAAAGTTTATGAAACAAGTTACCACAAAGTGGAATTGGTTTGTGTTTTACCTGGATTTCAAATGTTAGAACAGTTCGAGCAGCTGCATGGGAATTCTTCAATGGCTGTGGAGCTAGATCCAGATAAGTGTAGTAGTGGATTATTGGGGTTTGCTTTATGCATTGTCGTGAGAAGTTTTGTTAAGTGTGCGAAATGTAGTTGCAAATGCCAATTGATAACCAGAAGTGGTGATTGTCATACTTTCATTCATAACTTTACTCCCACTATTTTTGGTGGTGGTGGTAATGCACGTTACATTGTCTTTGATCACAATATGCTTCACGAAGCCATGCCTTATGTGGAGGCTTCATTTCAAGTTCAACCCAACTTCGCCCAATTGGATTGCGTTGGTGTTCGTGTATTCTATATGGATGCAGACAGAATCCGGCGAAAGGTTCAGCTCTCTAATGATTTTGAATCCAGTGAAATTTTCCTGACCGAAGAAGATATTGGGCAGACAGGAAGTTCTGGCTCGGAGGAAGATCAAAGAAATTTTAGCCCTGATAATGGATATGAACCAGAGCCTAATAAGATTAAAACTATTTTCTCTCTCTTGATCGAGGGTCTACAAAGGTAACTGGATGATTTAATTTGTGATACTAGTTACTTTTTCTACCATCTTTTTTTAAGTGAATTCTCGCCAAAATGCATATAATACAATAAAAAAAATCTTATGAATTGTTTCTAATTTCTGAATTTATAAATAATATCTGTTGTAACTTGTAATGCCCAATAATCAAAAAATTTTCAGTCAAATGACTTTTTAAAAAACAATAGCTTCATCTTTTTCATTTTTTAATCTTGGTGAAAAAAGTTACTGTTTAAATATAAAAAAGTTTTTGAATTGAAATTAAATTATCATTTAAAATTTTAAATTTTTATTACAATTAATTAAATTATTAAATATTTATTTCCACTCAATTAAATATTTGATTAGATGAAAATTAATAATCTAAACCATGTGATTGTGAGATGTGACAACCCATAATTAATTTTTGTTCAGTTAATGAGTTTATTATTTATATTTATATCTTATTTTCCTTTGATGAATATTATACATTGTTTTGATTTATTCAATTTCAATATATGAGTTCTTATTTAAATAGAAATTCTTATAGTATCAACTTACTGTATATAATTTAAAAAATGCTGTTTCTTTTACAAAATGATTCTTATTTCATTCGATTTCAATCAATTCAAAATAATAATAATAATAATAAAATAAATTACATGAACTTACATAATCAAATAGTGATATTGATTTAATTTTGGTTCATTTTTTTTTATATTTAAGCAAAAAATTACTTATTAATGTTTGAGAAAATGAAACCTTTTATATCTCCATTGTTTGAGAAATTGAAACCTTTTAGATCTCCATTACTAATGTTGTCTAAATATAATAAGAAATTTCTTTCAAGAGTTGAATGTTAGGTTTTTTGGGGACTGAGCAAATAATCTTTCTCTGAATTTTTCTTAAAAAAAAAAATGTCAGAATTTCTTTGAAGAACTTTTTTCTCCCTAATGGTTGCTTATTGCCTCTTTTCCTTTTATTTTCTTTCACAGGACGCTGCAAAAGGTATTCTCCCTATGCGAGGGAAAAATGGAGCAAGAGGATGCTTGAAGTTGAAAAAATCCGGGAGGAACTTGGATGCTAAAATTTTGTAATTTTCTTATGTTTGAACCTATTCCTTTCAATTATCAGGTAGCATAATGCAGAAATCTTTTTGTTTGAATCACTATGTTCTTACGATTTGTGTTTTTCTAATGGGTTTCAAGCTCTCTACTAAGTCTTTGCATTTTTTGTTTTCTAAAATCCCTAATTTTTTTCCTCTCAGCTCAATCATTGTCATCTTTTCCATCAGCATCATTTCAAAACAGGTATTCGCTAAAATCAATCTCTCTCCTCATTTTGATTGTGATTTGGAATTGACGGTCCAAAGGTCATTACTAATAAACTTCAGTAAAGTTGTGATTTGTGATTTCATTTTTGAGTTTGATCTTTTAACAGTCTTGTGCAGTAGAGTTGAGAGTGGAAGCAATTTCATAGAGGCGGAAGCAATTTTTGGTTCGGTAATTTCTTTTATTTTTTATTTTTCTTGATTACTAATTTAAATTTTTATTTCCTTTTCATTTAAGGTTAGAAACCGATTAATTTTCGTAATTTTCTCCTCTTGTTTGAATGTTAATAACTTCCACATTTTTCTATTACCTCTGCTTGTTGTAGAACTCTGTTTAATTGATTTTGAATTCTGCTTGCAGGATAGCGGCCTTGTGCACAAGCATTTTACTACTCTTTACTTTGTCTTTGTATTTGATAGTTCTGAAAATGAACTAGCCATGCTTGACTTGATACAAGGTATGCGTTATCTATAATGGAGTAATCTATCTATGTAATTTTGTTCTTCTATGTTATGGTCTTTTCAAAGTCAAGATTTCGATTTACTTGATACTTGGAGATGTCTGAATACTTAATCTTGCATTATAGATATGAAAACTTTACATAAAGCTGCATAGAGCCATTTTGATCGCCTCTGTGATAATTTGAAGTTGAATAAAGTTCATATACACCTTTTTGTAACATAGATCTTCTTGCTTGACCATTTAATGCAAAGAAGAAAACAAAATTGTTTTTCATGTGCACTGGAATCGATGATCACTGTATGCAGTATGGCAAAATAGCATTACTAATAAACTTCAGAAGCAACCTAATAATGACAAAAAGGCTGGATATATAAGCAGCAATTAGAATCTTCCTGTTTAATTAATTGGATCAAGGCACACTGCTGGATCTGAAATGATATTGTCCAACACTTGAATTGAATCACCACATCTTTATTTATATATTTAGAATTCTTTTGGTTTGGTGAAGAAGTTTCTATGTTAAAAGTTCTTATTGATTTATCAGTATGCAGGTCTTGTATCTGCAACCTTTGTGATGCTCTAATCAATTGAACTAATAGGCCAATTTTTTTTTTTTTTTAGCATGGCATAAATTTATTGCTCTTAAAACATTGTTGATAAGTGATAATTAAAGAACATCTTTTACATTTTAGATTTTGGTTTGGAGTAAAAAGGACCAGACGGATCTTGAAGGGCCCTTAAAACTTTTTTATTTTATTTTGGAAATAGATGATTCTCGTTTTCCTTGAATAGCCAGAGTGTTAAGGAATCTTCAAGGCATTTACATGATTGGTTTAATTTTCAAATTCAGTCAATCTATTTTGGAGAAAGAAAGCATTCAAAAGAGCATTTTAATGTTCATTCTCTTTTCATTTTACCAATATGTTGCCTAAGCATCTTCCTTATTAGTTTAATTCAAATTGCCTTTAATTATCTCACAACCCCCCTTTTAAGAATATTTTTATTCTAAAATTTAGGAGTGGTTAAACATTTGAAGGAAATAATTTAATTTTTGGAATCAGATTTCTCAATGTATAGAGTTGTGACTGTTGATGAATATGACTGCTTTAGTTTTTGTCTTATGAGCATGGCTAAATCCACTTACATGATGGTAATGAAACTCTGATGTGTCAAGTAGGTTGTTTGTTGCTAAAAGTTGTGTGTTGGAGTGTGTGAGTGACTAATTTCTAAGTATTAGTGATTTAGTGGTTTGCATCATATAAGACTCTTTGCCTAGTGCATTTGATTAGTGTATGATTAAGATTTTCTAATGCATGCTGTTTATTAAGATTTTAAAAGTCCAACATTATTCTATAATTTATAGAAATAAATATGTCCATTTCATTGTGCTTTTACAATTTTGGTTATAAGATTACTTTTAAATGGGATAGATTGTTCTGTGGTTTCTCTATTAAGGATTACATTTAAATCTTTTGTTATCTGTCTCTTTCTCTTTGATTATTTTCATTAGCCATACCTTTGATTACAAAGAATAACTGCATCATAGTTTAAACCATCTCTTCCTTGAGAAGATCACATGGTTACTTAGATGTGAAGGAGTATAATAAAACACTTTACCCTTTTGGTCTTTCTCTAGCAGCAAGTCTTGACCCAACTTTTGAAAGAAGCACGTTACTCAAGGGGCTCTTACATAATGTTGGATGACTTCACTAAGGTACTTCCCATTCTATTTTATATTTATCTTGTAACTATTCAATTTTATATCTAAGATGAAATCATGGCTTAGTTGAATTTTTCTGACATAGGTTTCATTTTGCTTAAATAATCTTTTTTCTTTGGGGACATTGATATATTTATCATCATTGTTTTGTATTTGGCACAGGTTTTTGGGAGCTCTGGTCTAAAAACGGAGGTTGAAGTTGTGCAGTCTTTAGCCTGAATGATTAGAGAGGAGCTAGCTGCATGCATCAAAGGAGAGAAACACATTTTAGAATCGTACATAATACACCTTTCTTTTACCCTTTCTTGTTTCCTAATCAAAGTGACAATAAATAATTTGCAATGTATTAAAATAAGCTTCAATTCTCTGTAAATATATCTTCAAAATTGTCATGTCTCTGAGAAATGTGATATATCTGTTCAAGATTTTTGTTTCCAGTTTTGTTCTTTATTAGATCAACTCTACCGTACTCAAGATCACCACAGGTTTGTGAGGCAGCAAGTTGTTTCCTAGGTTGGTTGCCTTTTCCATAAGTTCAACTTTATCTAGTCAACTTAGTTTCTTTTGGTGGCTTAGATCAATCTGTTAAGTCTTATGCTTCCTGTTTCTCACGATATGTTGATTTCATTATGTTAAATCAAATTATTTTGAACTCAGATTTTCATACATTTTCTTTTTTTACTAAAACTAAATATAGTTTTGCATTGACTACTTTATGTCTCCATTGAGAATTCTTGAGTTTACAGCAGGCACCCTTTTCAAATAGTCAATTTTAACCTACTTGATATCTGTATGTTGTATGTAGTAGCCAGTCCTTGTTCACAACAGCTGGGTATCTTTGTACATGTGGTAGATGATTTTAAGGCAAATTATGAGATATGTTGTTGGAGGAAGACTAACTGGGATAAATTCAAACATAAAAAACACCTTCTGTTTGAACTGTATGCTTTTCTTGAGAACCTCCTATTTAAGTTGCCAAACTGTTTATGTACACCTGACTACCGATATATCTGATGGATATACTGTACACGGGATGCTGATTTTAAGTAGAACTCAAAATTGGAAAGGAGAAGATTGGACTGAATTTCAGGTGTCCAGCTTCAATTTGGTTATCTTTAGACTGTCTGATTGACATTTAGAATGGTTTTTTCTTTATGTTTTAAATATAAAGTAGTTTATATATATTTAGGTGACTCTTATCTTCTTGATTATTTACAAAAGTGTTGAATTAAAGTTATCCTTTGATTTTTTACATACGAAAATTATTTATTATTTTTTTTAAATAACACTTTCAAGGGCAGTTTTAAAATGACAATATTGCACATTCAATAAATATAAAAAATTTAAATAAAATATGACTTCTATTGGCACTTGAACATAACAGTAATTTAAAATGTGGAAAAAATTGTGCCGATAAGTACATGTATAACTTTTGCATTGGTAGCTTAATCACCATAAAGTTTTTACTGGCACTTACCTAACCGACGGTCAACAATGAAAAAAATTGTTAGTGATAGTAATGTCTTCATTTTTTTTTTATCTTTTATTAGCACTTATAAATGTCGATAAAAATGATTTTTTTTGTAATTTAGTGCTAAATTATGTTATGCATGTTTTTAACATGAAACCTTTTCTTGGAGTAATTATAAAGTGAGCGTCCATGTATGTAATATTCTGTCTACTTCTAATACACATGCAGAAATAACCGTTATGACAAGAAGCTATTGGTAGAAGTCTAATGTCTAAAACGGATGACTTTGAAGTAAAGGCAAGGCAACAACATCAGATTCCATTCCATCTTGGAGGATCGAGTTTTTTGGTTTGACGGCATTGCAAATGATAAAGAAACATCATATCCAAGTCTTTCATTTATAAATGGTGATCGACATGGATGTACCAATCACAAGTAACAAGTTTCCTTTGTGTATCCCTACTTCTGATACATTTTGGGACAACGGACTGTCAAACGTGAGGTCTGTTAATTATTGCACTGCCTCTTTTTTTTTTTTTTTTTTGGGTAAATGTAGCTTTTGCAAATCCTTGAACCTTTTTTATTCAGCATATTATTTTTTCAGTTTGATAGTGCACTTTTTTTTTTAGAATTTAAAGTATGTTATATATGGATTTATTTATTCATGAACTGATATAATGGATTTTGTTTGAGATGAAGTTTCTAATTCTTTATTTAGGCAAGTAATTCTTTATTGGTTCAATTGATTAATATCATTTTTTTTTTTTTATGAAAAGATTTTGAATTCGAGTTTTATCGGTGATCATTTATTGGGATTATCTCGAATGCACGACTTGTATTCATTTTTTTTAGACTGTCAAATATGACATATATTGTCTAAATCTGAAAGATTAAATAACCTATCTATTGTGGATTTATTCTTACCAAAAAATATATATATATCAGACGAGAGATTCAAATTCAATTTATGCTCACACGTATCCATCAAAAGTTCCCTATGCTCATTAGCAGCTTGTTCCCATTCCTAAGTTTCAACCCTCACTTGCCTGCTTCTCATCAACCGATATTTGTTTTCCCAATTCCTCTCTCTATTATTTTGCGAATTCTACGCCTATTATCAAGGGGAATAAAGTGATCGAATCTGTCTAAAAGTTTAGAAGAAATTAATGGGGTTTTGATGATGGACATCAAAATTATTAATAAATAAAAGGTGAAGCTGAAAATGAAGTGCGATTTTTGGGATTGGGCAGATTTTAAGTCAAGGGAAAATGGGTTTGAGAAAAAATGTTGGAAGACCAAAAAAAATGGTAGAGAAAGGGAAGCAGTAGCCGCCTTAAACCCTCCCTAAACCTTGTCTGAGTGCAAAGATGTTATTTTTTTAGCTTTGCTTTGCTTTGGTTGCCCTGTGGCAACGAAGGGGGTGATTGTCATGTAGAAATTTTAGGGCCTTGATGTGCAAGGAAAAATGGAGATCCTGGCAATGCCAGTAATAATACGAAAGCCCA